TTAGATACGTATTTACGGGTAAGTTGACATTTATGGTGTTTTCGAAATCACTTAAGTTCTCGTGTATAATGTGCGGTTATTTATTATTCACTTCAATTAATTTGCGAACACGCTTAGAAAGCTTTTTTTTTCTGTTCATTTGACCTCCAGTTATAGGTATGTATTTAAATAAATAGCTACATTACCAATTATGAATTGATTTAATCATGTCTGTCCGTCCATTGGAATGTCTGTCTTTAATTTATGGTTGCGAAGCTTATAATCTTCCACGATAAACTGTTTATTTTTAGCAAATTTACAACTCCCTACGGATTTTTATCGTTCGCACCACGCGTCGTGTAAGGGTATATTGAGATTTGGACTTTGGATAGAGCCACCTTTTATTATACTGATCTAATCACTTTTTGTGTACATCTGAGCTTGTCCGTCCCTCTACGTGTCGTATTTTCTTGTCTTCGACCCACCAACGTATTTTTGACCAAGGACATACGGGTGGAACCACATCTTAACGCCCTATTTGAAAAGTCACTGTATGAATAGGATAGGATAGGGTAGGGTATTTAGCAGTAGACCTTGTCCCACTTTTAGTGTTCTTACTGTGTTCTGTTCATTTTTAATTCTAGCACCTACATAGAATTTTTAGCCTAAGCCAAGTGCAAAGGAATTTATATATTATTATGACCACAGGCACAAAATATTCTTGAGAATTCCATTTCATTGTCAAAATTTCCAGAAATTGTTCACAATAGATTCAATGTAAGCGCCTTATAGGCAAGTAAGAGATATTCGTTAGTGTTTGATTCACAATAAAACCAAATTCTATTTTCTGCTGAAGACGCACATATTTTAATTTGTTCTTCTTCTTAAAAATCCTTTGATTACAATTGGTAGATAATGGATGCATGTAGGTAGGTGAAGAGTTTTAAAATCAATTGAATTTCAAATTGACAGCACAGCATGCAATTATGTAGGATTTAGTTTTACAAGCACTAGCATAAATGTAAAACGAATTGAAAACTATGGAATGGAATGCTAGATGAAATGCTCATAAAATTTATCTATAAGTATCATCACAATTTATTAAGAATTTCAATATATATATATATATATCTTTAAGTTTAATATCTCCTCGAGGGGACTTGACTGACGAATTGTTAACGTAATGCAAGCAACAAACATGCACGAATTCGCATTTATGCTTGACATGTACAAAATGCTTGGGGTAGAATAACAGAAGGAGAGATGTTCTAAACACTTGCTACTGTCTTGTTCGGGGGCATAAATAAATAAATAAATAAATAAATAAATAAATAAATATCAAGTTTGTATTGTGTTCACCAATGGAATGAATGAATGAATGTGTACGAAAACTTTCCTCATAAATATCTGCTTATTAAGGCTTATGTAAATCTGCCGAGCGCAAAGCATTCTAATAATGAATGCATTCATATACGAAGTCGTTTCGTATAGTAAAGCCCATCAACATAAATCATTAAATTTAATTGCAAATATTGCCAAATATATGTGTATACATATATATGTCATCTACGTATGTATATAAGTATATTTTTATACACATATGCATATATATAAATGCATATGCATGCATACGTATATATTCATTCTAATATATATTGCTACGTAGATGGAGGCGTTTATTTAGTTGTGCAAAATATTAGTTTGGGGAAAAAGAAATCCATTAGTTTTATATGAACTTCAGGACTTTATTTAACATGCTTCGGATTGTCCGATTTGGGTCAAATATGCACCGTTTTGTTGTATGATTTGTTGCCATTTTAAAGGTAACTTCAAAATGCCTCTCTCAAAGAAGTCCTGGGCTCTATTTGCAAAAAACTCTAGTAGTCGATTTTCACAATCCTCCCTAGATTCCAATTTTTCATCATTAAAGAAATTTTGCAATGCAAGAAAAAGATGATAATCGCTTGGTGCCAAGTCCGGACTGTATGGCGGATGCATTGAAACTTCCCAACCAAGCTCCCGAAGTTTCTGGCCAGTCACTGTAGATGTTTGTGGCCTAGCGTTGTCCTGGTGGAACACGACACCTCTCCTGTTGGCCAATTCTGGCCGTTTCTGGTCAATCGCTATCTTCAAACGGTCCAGTTGTTGACAGTAGAGATCAGAATGTAGCGTTTGGCCATATGGAAGCAACTCATAATAAATTATCCCCTTCCAGTCCCACCAAACGCATATCAAAATCTTCCTGGCCGTTTGAGGTGCTTCACCGCTGTTTGACCACGATCGTTTTCGCACAGGGTTCTCGTATGTGATCCATTTCTCATCTCCAGTCACCATCCGTTTAAGAAATGGGTCTATCTCATTCCGTTTGGTCAAGGCTTCGCAGATGGAAATTCGATCCATCATGTTTTTTTCTGTTAATTGGTGTGGCACCCAAACATCGAGCTTCTTTTTGAATCCAGCTTTGTGTAAATGGTTTAAAACTGTTTTATGGTCGATTTATAGATCCTGGGCGATGTTACGACTGCTAACATGACGGTCAACTTCGATCACTTCTCCGATTTTATCGACATTTTCGACGACCGGCCTACCTGTGCGAGGTGCATCTTTAGCATCAAAAATTCCTGAACGGAATCTACGAAACCAAAATTGCACATAATTGACTGTTACAGTATCGAAACCATAAACACCATTCACAATTTTAGCCGCCTGGCTTGCATTTTCGCTTTTTTTTACTGCGAAATGTCACCTTTCCAACGAGCATAAATCTGAAATTGTTTGATCGATACTTTACGAGAAATCTATCAGTGCAGCCATCTACCGAAAAAATAATGGATTTCTTTTTCCCCAAACTAATATGTATATATACTGTGTTATATATACAACAGAGGAATGTGTTTAGCAACACTTACATACGCATGCATCATTTGAATATGTGCATGTGTTTATTTCAATTTGATATTGTGCTGGCTGTGGTTTTAATTTTCATTTGTTTTAACAAAACGATGTTAATGAAAATTTTATTCCAATGAATATATGAATGTTTTATGTAAAGGAGACAGTGTGTGCGTACAAGCAGATGTATTTGCTTGTTCGCACCAATGTGTCTGATTGTTTATAGCTATAGTGTTATGTATTTGTTATTATTATTATTATTATTATTATTATTATTATTATTATTATTATTATAGTTGTTAGTATTTAGGCTTGTTAATCATTGTTGGCATATTTTGGGTTTTGAGAACCTTCAGTAAATGTCACAAACGTCACAATTTCTTAAGTATCATGTACGACAAGATGTAAAGAATTCACTCATATTATTAAATATAGTATATACAGTACGTATATATATACGTATGTATATTATTGTATATATGTATGTATATTATATATATAAAATCTAGTTTCTAAAATTTCATTATGTATGTGTGTATTAAGTCGAACATAAGCGTATTTACATATACGTTATAATCTGATAGAGGTTGCAGGCAAGATTGATTGGACTATGTATTATTAGATTTACGAATGCGGTCGGCAAATTAAAATTCCCAAAATGTTGTCTAGTGCTGTCAGCCTAGGTTTCACTCCAAGCATTGTTTTTTGTTTCCCTTCTTAATGCGATTAATGGCATCAATAACTAAGCAAAACTAATTTTTGTCATTTGTGTAACTCTCGTAATTTATTTTTAAAGCGATTATTATGTTTATATGATTTAAAGTAAGTAAAAAAATATCATACCTTGCGTTAACACATTGAGCATGAAAATTAAACATTATGCTGTGGATCAGTAAAATAAAAATCAACGGGAGAATTGCAATCAACTCAACGAAGAATGTTTCCCGCTAAAAACTTAAGATGAAGGCTGACAATGCTCAACTATGTTTGATGCAAGCACACCTGACTACGTTTCACCGCTTCCCTAAAAAGGGACATAAGAAAGCAATAAAAATGTCATGTTTCCTCAGTAATCTATAAAAAGGATATAACAGGGAAAAGAATTGTATTCTGTTGCGAGCGAATCTTGTACGGTCATCATCGTTACCCTTTAAAAGATTGAAAAGAAGGAAAATATTGGATGGGTGTGATTGATGTTTTCGAAATTTATATCGTGCATGCGTTGTAGTTGATGAGCAACGAGCAAAAGACGCGGTAAACAAAGATGTTCTCATTTTTGGTTGCAGGCGTAGTTGTTGTGTTCGTTGACCAATTTGGGAAATTTTTAAATTCATTTTTGCGAGCGAGAGAATGTTTGCCAAAGGTACTACACAGTTGAGCAGACGGACAGATTGACACACGTGCATACTCAGAAACATTCCGAATTTGAAACTATCCAAGAATTTATATATTTTATGGGGTTTTTGAAGATAACGTCTGCGCTTCAATGCCAATCTGGGTGCAAGGCTTGCAATATTTTTGCCAAATTGAAAGTCGTCAGCTTTACTTTTGCGATCAAGAGAAAGTTTTCAACGGATACTACACAGACGGACGTACTTAGATCGATTCAGAAATTGATGCTGGTCAAGAATAAATATACACTACGGAGTCTCTAAAGCTTCCTACCTTCGGTGATGGGTATGAACCCGTGGAGAAGTTTAGAATGAATATGGTTTTGATCGATCCGATAATAATCCAATAACTTTGCCCATTGTGACGGCTACTTCAATTTTATGCCCAACTTTATATATAGTCTGCTTATTCAAAATCTATTTTGATGACTGGGAATGATAATGAAATCATAGAAAGGTACGTAATGGCGGGATCACAATTGATGTCGCATGAGTTTATCGTAAATACATTACGCATTATCCGCTTTAAGTGGCGTATACGAAGCGAGAATATAACATAAAAATCATAAATATTAAACGCGTACGAACTCATGATTTATATTTTTATACCAATTAATGTTTCATAAATTGATTGTTAATTAAAATTGTGTTAAAGCAAGCTAATGAACATGAATACGATTGGATTTTATTTAATTTTGGTTTTCATCTCTCTCTCTGTCTCTCTCTCTCTCGTTGCAGCCACTGTCTCTGCTAGTGTTTTAAATAAACACGAACCAATGTTCATCTCGCGGTCGGAAACTTTTAAATTTGTATCTGGTGATACTATAGTGTTACCATGCGAAGTAGCAAATACTGGTAAGTTTTGTATTAAATTATTTTATTCAATTTATATGTAAGAGTTAAATCAAAATACTATCATTTTAGCTTAGGATGAATGGAACATAAAAAGAAATGCAATTTTTTCATTTACTCGACTTTGTAAGTGAAATAAGGCATATATATATATATATATATATTTTGTACTTCCTATGCCACCCTATGCGACACAAGGGTATATTAAGTTTGTATGAATGTCCATAGCCCATAGAAAGACTTAAGATAATTCTATCTTTCATGATACCAATCAATTCAGAATCAAATTTTGCAGAGACCTAAGCTTGCCTATCATCTATCTGAAGGTATATTAGTTTTTCAGTATGTGTCGATGAATAGCATTTCATTGAAATCTAGCTATTATTCATAACTTTATTCGACATACTGACTTGAAGTCAATTGGACAACAAGATATTGTCAGCTTAATAGTCTCCATAAAGGAAATGCAAAATTCACAAAATTTTTCCAAACTTTCACAAAACTAACTACATTTAAATTTACATTATTTTTACTTATGTTCAATTTGTTTGCTGTCTGTAAAGTCTTTAACTACTTTCTTTAAATTGCCTCAAGTTTTAGCCAATTACTTTACTACTTAAAATAATAATGAAAGAAAAAAAAAATTTGCATAACTGAAGCATTGAAACTTTATTTGCCATTGCAAACATGTTCATATCTTTGTTCGCATATATGGTTCTCTTAATAATTTCACTTCAATTGTAACGTCGTTATTTTAATTCGCAGCAAAGCGGATATAAGTAAAAACTTTTCTCTTAATAAAATAATGAAAATTTTTCAAATAAACTGCTCAGATATATTTCGCTTATTTCATTCTGGAGTGAAGTGAAAATACAAAATATTTTAATATTAAATCAAACAAAGAAACCAAAAAAGACAATTAAAAGAAAACATTAGAACAAAAGATTTTATGAATAAAAAGTTAGGTAAATTTTTCATTTAAACTTCGCGTGTACTATAAAATGATCAAAGGATTATTATTTTTTTTTCTTTAGTTGGCAATTTCTGGAGCAGCTGGAGTTTTCATGTCAATATATTTAATTGCTGCAGTTTTTGATTTTTGCTATGTCTGTCAAACTCATCATTACGAAAACGAGATTTGTGAATCTATCGATATACAACACAGAAACAAATGAGGTATCGTGGGAAAAGTGAATCAAGTCTGAAAAAATCAGGTTAAAGTCGCTCAAAAGTGAAGATGATGTCGATAGTTTTCATCGATTTGGGCGGTTTTGTGTATTACGAATTTCGAGGCCAAGCTACTAGTAATGAATACTATTTAAGTCTTACGAAGGCGATAAAGACCATAGAATACGTACATGCAACACAAGTTTCAAGCATCAAGACTGAATATGCAATTCTCGAAAATATCGCCTCTGCATAGCATAAAGCACTTTGATATAATACACAACAATCAGCTGACACATATATCAGACTTGGATCTTGTTGATCAAAGGTTGCTTTTCCTTTGCAAAATTTTTTAACAATCGAAAATACAAATTCACTAAAGGATTGAAGGCGATCGGGCAGCATCTCGTTATAGAGTAATTTTTACTAGCTCTTATGTCGATGACAATTATTTGCTTTGCAAGCGGCACGGATATATTCGCCTTTAGGCCTATAAGAATTGAATGAAATCTGTTTAAAGGTGTTTTATTCAAATGTAAGAAGGTCCCGGCACACGTTGGTCCGAATTTACAAAATCCAGTTAAGTCAATTCTAAACCCAAGTTTATCGATATTGCTGTTTTCCTTTAGAAAAACCCCGGCTCAACCACGAAAAAGGTCAACAAAGATCTTGAAATTGAGGAAAAGCTCCTATTACTCAATCACATGCATCGATCTGTCGAGCTTTAAACGCTTTAGGTTTTCATTAGAGTCTGTCCCAGCAACAAAGATAATCAACAGGGGGCACCAGATTGCGGAGAAGGTTTTTTTATCCATTTGTCAGCATCTTTCGCTTTTGAGCACTAGTGGAGGTTAGCTAGGCTTGCTGCAATGCAGAAAGAGATAGCAAATAATGATTTTAAGTTGCAACCATACCCATAAAGAACACAATAAACATAATGATATCATTTCACATAAATCAATAAACTGCTTCGCCACAAGAAATGTTTGCTCTTCTTTTATGTATCGTAATAATAAATTTTGCTTAACATAATCGTAAAATATTAAATACAATAATTCGGGGAACAATAATAAAAGTTATGTAAATTTTCTAAAACATTAGTGCACTTAATACGAATATTTTTAAGTTGACGGTCTGGTTATTATACTGGCAGCTATATATCGCGCTATGTCTTCGTAAGACAAAACTTTTGCTATAAAACATAACCACCAAGCAAAAAGAAAAAAGCTAAGAAACGAAGCAAATAAATTTAAAAATAACAAAAAATAAATAAGCAAATGAACCCGAATACGAATGTGAATCCATGTCGCGTAAATGAGAGAGAGAGAGAGAAGAAAGCATTCAGGCATTTTTTTATATAAAAACGCAGAATCTCTTCATTCAAATAAGAATTTATATATGTTTGCATGTTCGTCGACAGTGACTGCTGTTGACTGCTGCGACGACGAACAGTAAACAAAGTTTTATTAGTTTTTTTTTTTTTTTTTTTTTTTTGCCCTACAATTTTCTGCATCGATTCTCCAGAAAACTTGACATAGACATCTTTTCAATCCGACTTAAGCTGGGATTTTCGAATGAATGAACGGACAAGGGATTATAATGCGCAATTCGTGAACGGAATATGCCGAGAGGGTGTACTAACTCCATCAATTTGCATATGTTATCCGAAACTAACCGAGCATTGAATTGCATGGTTCTTTCTGCCTTTGTTATCGAAGGCAAAATGCTAGAATTCGTTCTCATGTACCTTACGTTATTCTAATACGTACTCGTATGCATTGCGAGTTCTCGAAAAGACTAATACCCCTCTCTCTCTATCTATTTTCCGCATTATTTTTATTCAGTTTGTTCAGCTTCTTTTCAACTCCTTGTAAGTCTTCCATAATAAGTACATAGATAGATAGATAGATAGATAGATAGATAGATATGATGGGGAACTAAAGATTCGAACAAAATCGTTTCTTGTTTTCTCTCCATTTGTTTTGTAATGCCTTAGAGCATACGAGTATAAAGTGCTCGAACATTATGCAACTGCATATGGGAATTTTAGCAACAACAATAAGAGCGCGTATAATTTTATATTCTGTTTTTCATGAAGTTTATAAAGTTCTTAATAATCTGCTAATATTTTATTAATATTTTATTATTTTTGTTACTCGTGCGGCTTATGAAAAATTCATGAACATTAGCTGGCAATGCACACGCACTATGACAAGCATACACACATGTGGGAGTTGCGAACGAAATATGGCGATAAGTGCTAAACTTAATGGCAAATTGAACTTTAAACAAAACTTAATTCAAATGGAACTTTGCTCCTGCTCCTGCTCCTGCTGCTCCATATAGTAGTAGTAATCTTCATTATTGTAAAGATAGAGTAATTTTTAAGCTAATTTAAATTTTTAATCTGTATATTCAGGAGACCTTTGATTTCTTTTTTTTTTTTTTTTTTGTTTATAACCGTAGCATTTTTCGTCTCCTCTTATTAAAGAAACAAAAGGTCTGAAGTAAAAAATCTCACTGGCTTATTCATCGGTTATATGCTCATATAAGGAGTGGAGTTTGTTTTTCATACCCCACAACTCGAGGATAGGATTACACACAAACATTTTATCAAAGCCCCTATAAAGTGTATATATGGTATATATAAATTTTGAATCGAGCTACGTCCGTCCGTCCGTCCGTCTATATCGTGTGTCGAGAAATGACTGCAAACTTTTAATAGAAACATTGGAAATTTTTGCCCTCTAGTCGGTATTGAAAAAGGGGCCAGATTGTTTAAAGCATACGCAACGTGTTAACGCTGGTACACATGACTCGTCGTCAGCCAAATATAATTTTCTTACTCGTTAGCATTGTCAGATAACTCACACACCATAAACTTTCTGAATGGCATTGCAACACCAATAGTTTAGGAGAAATTTCCACCTGCAGCTGGTGCGTAAATGCAATTTGAATCCTCCACAAAATTGTAACTCTTCTCAAAATATATTGCATTTTAAAAATCTATGTTGTTTTTTTCTTTTTTGGTTTTTCTTTCTATTATTTCACTTGATATTTAATCGAAATTTTTCGATATTACAATACGTTAAACTGTTGTTCTTTGTTGTTTCTCCATTAAGCCGTAAGGAAGTTTCGCAATTTCCGCTTTAACGAGCAAATTTTAGGTGGCTTTAAAAATTCCTTTTAATAATATTGTGTGCTTACTGCTCGTTACCATACAATGAATTGTTTATGCATTTTCTCTAATCTTTTTATTGACTACGTTTTACCTTCTTTTCAAAGCGGAAATTGAAGCGTTTTAAATTCTTAACAAGGAGAAGAAGAAGAAAATGTACATTGGGAGAACCAAAGTCAAATATATATAACAAGACATACATGTGAACTTATTTAATGAATTGAACAAAACGCAGGCATTATTTTTGATGTTTTAAATAACTTAAATAATTTACGTTCTCATCTCACTGCTAAAGTGAGCAATTGCTTGTGCCGTGCCTTTTAAATAAAAGATTACAAGGTATTTCAGTTAAGTCTAATGCCTTAAGTATTAGCATTCTAGCTTAGTCTAAGCCTTAGTTTATGCATTTTTAAAGCGTGTTATATAATACCCTTTCTCCCCATACAGCAATTCCTAGATTTCCATGATACTTGATTTACTTTCTTCATACAGTTCATCAGTACCACACTTATTTATGAAAAAAAAAAAAAAAAAAATGTGGGAAAAGGGCACGTGCTATAAAGTTTCAAAAAAAGGTAACATCCCATGATACTAGACATAGGAGAGATAGTTACGCCGAAAAATTCTTCTAAATAAACGAAAAGTGAACTTGCAAGAGTCAGTTGATCTCCTGCAGTTATGAAAAGACAGTGCCGCGACTGTTTCGCATGAAGATTTGGGTAAGAGAAAGTTGTTTTCCAGATTGGCGGTTACTCACAACGAAGCAAAGATACCATGTCACAGATCGATGATTACAGTGACAAAATTGCCTCCATTCAAGATTGTACTCCCCAAGTTTAGTCTTCAACGACCATCATGTGTCTAAAAACTTTAAAGAAGATTTGCATTAAATGGTGAGATCATTGGGGAAACTGAAGCATATTTTGAGAGTTGCAAGAAATCTTTTCGTAAGGTAAAGAAAGGATCGAAATATTCAATAAATGTTGAAATCACTTCAACACTTTTAAACGAGATGAATAAGTTTGAACTATGCAAAAAATTATGTTACTTTTATTTATACTCGAAACTGGTGACCCTTATATTAGAGGCTTTCAGCAAGGGATGTCATTTCCTCACTTTTCACGGAGTCGAGATGACATCGTCCTGCTGAAAATAGTCTCGCTCTTAATTACAGGCCAAAAAAGTCGGGCAACGTCTTTCGACTCCGCTGGTTTAAAATAGATGTAAATTCACCCCATCATTAAAAATAGTTAAAAAGTCATGACCTTGTTCACCAATAATTGAATGCATTATGCGCGTGTTGGTCGCTTGAAGACGGCATTTATTGAGAAAAATTGTAACAATATGTATTAATCGAAATATTCTCCATCGCTTTCTACAATTTTTTCCCATATTTCTGACCACACGGCGATTCCGTGTCGAAAGAACAAAATTGGTTTGGCAGAAAGCCCATCCATCGGTCCATATTCGTTCTTCTTCAGCGTTTCCAAAGTGACATACCAGCCAAGCCATACTGCATCGATCTGAACAAGTCGTAATCCGAAAGCGCTGTGCATGGTAAGTAAGCCGGATTTGGCAGAGCTTTCCATTCGAGCGGCAACAATGTAACCTTGGCAACTCTTGCAACATGTGGTCGAGGATGACTCTGCCTATGTTAACCGCAATTGACGTCGCTAAAGACCTGCGGTAACAGTTTCACTCGGTTTTAGCAACTCCTAATACACTATACCTTACTGACCCCATGCATAGCAAAACTCAATGGCTATGAGTATTCCGCTCTGATGCCGATGTGAATGGGCTTCCAAGCTATGACTTTTTGAGATTGGGATTGTCGTTCATTTTTCCTCTTCTGAGACTTTTCCCTTCGCGTGTAAACATCCAAAAACAGTTGATTCATCAACTGCTAAGTTGCTTGAAAGTTATTGGAGAGTCTGAGGTGAGTTCTGCTTCAATAAGTCGCTCAATTCATTGTTATTGTCTTCGAACGTCTTTGGTCCTCCGGGCCGTTCCTTGTCATTGGCATCAAAATCACAACTTTTAAACTGTTGAAAGTAAAACCGCAGCAGCACCATCATAAGCTTCTTAACACTTGATGGGCTTCGGCAGCGGACTCCTTTAAATCGAACAGCAAAAGTAATGTATGTCCGAGTTGTTAGCGTTCCACGATTAGCATCGATCGATAATGCTAAACGGAAAACTATTATTTTATGTAGGGAAAGATCAAAAACATCGAATCTAATCGCTGTATACACTTACACTTCGCATTTCTTATTTTCAAAGCGCATCCAAGCATCTATTATAATTGACAACCCACTCGACGTTACTTTTCAAATGTCGTCGCAATGTCTGCTGTATGTTGACAGTTCCAAAATGATTGCAAATTTCAAATGACACGCCCTTTTAAAATATTCCATACCCAAACGAAGCCTACTTCTACAAGGTCTTCCATTTATCATATTTTTCTCGGTTTTCAATAAGTAAATAATTTCGCGCTAACTGCGTGAACCCAAGAAGGGTCTTGAGTGTTTACACGAAATTTGCAGAGTGGAACGTTTTTATCACGATCCACATCTTAGGAAAATTCTATGGTTTTCGTTAATCCTGAGCCTCGTTTTCCCAAATTTCAATACTTATGTTCACTTTAGCAAGGAAGTATCTATTTCGCAAAGTAAGTGCGAAGTGCTTGGCGTTACAAATCTAAAATGCACCTTTAAAAGCATAACAAACATTGAAATGTTAGTTATTGCTGGCATTGTCTAAAACAATTTATTGTTTCTCTTTTACATAGAAAACTCTCTGGCTCTGAGTCAGTTTCATCGCTTTATCTATCGCTCTACTACTAACTCTTTTGCCATATACAGGAGTTTGAAAAATTTTAAAGTGTAAAATATGAAAATTAATCGCAAGGGCGAAGTCATTTGCATAGAAGAGGATGGATGCTTATAAAGCCAGAGTATGCACGTATGCATATATGTGTGTACGGTAAGCATGCATTTAAGATGCATCACATACACATGTGTGTATCTCAATGCTAAGAACAATTTGATCATATTGTTGGTGTTCATGTTGATTAAATAAGCCGCATACAGGCGCAGTTGAGTGGGTGTTTGATTACGTTTTCATTTGCATATTACTTTGCATTGATTGAATCCCATTATGTTCATATCATTTTCTTTAGAATACCGCTTTTTTTCGCATCTTGTTATTCTTGTTCTTGTATGTTCTTCTTCTTCTTCTTCTTCCTGAATCTCATCGCCACATCGTATTTAGAAAAGGTATGATAGCGAACGGATGAAGTGTCATTTCTGCTCAAGCATTGCCTCTAAATACGTTAACAAACATATACGAAAAGTACTTGAATGCGTGAGTGTATGTGTATGGGTGTGTGTGATATGCAAATGAAATGAAATGAATTTTGTGGTTGCTTTAGCAAAAACGATGTTATATATGTGTGTTCTTGTTATATTGCGATGATATGTTTAATTAGATTTTCTGTTATTGATATCTCTACCATAATAAGTGTAATTGATATACATTTACGCAAATTTGTATTGCATAAGGCAGCGCGTCAATACCGTTAATATACATGCTATAACAGATCGTAAGGAAATTTCAAATACGTTCTTAACTTTGAATATGTTTTTAATGATGTTGTATTGTTGTGTGAGTGAGAATTGTGATGATGATTTTTAATTATGTGTAATATTATTTATTCATTACATATTCATTATGAGTTTAAATTTTTTTTCCTTTTTTTTTATTTTTTCTTAACTCAAAAAAAATCTGCATAAATATTTTTTTTTTTTTTGTTTTTTTTCATTTAGCCAATCAAGCAATCTGTGAAATTATAATTTATAATTATTTCTATCATGGTAACGCTTTAATTAAAACGAGTTACTAATTCGCATTCAAAATTTAATAACATTGCAGATCCGTACGTTGTTGCTTGGAAACGCGGCATCGCCATATTAACAGCTGGCTCTGTTAAGGTTACACCCGATCCACGTGTACGTTTAGTTAACGGTTTTAATCTACAAATACGTGATGCCGTACCACAGGATGCCGGCGATTATATTTGTCAAATAGCAACAATGGAACCACGTGAAATCACTCACACAGTCGAAATATTAGGTAAGTGAATCCGTAAAAATAATTCCATTCAGTGATTATGCAAGAATATGAGCAAATAATTATTCATACATCGTGTGAATGCGTTAGCTGCACTCGCAACTGGTTGGCTGATAAACGCATAATAATGAAAATGACAAAAGGTTTCAAAATTATCCAATTTCTAGTAGCTTTAGCAAAAGATTAAAACATTAATGATTTCTTCCATTCTTCTCTAATTAAATAATAACTGGGAGTGTTGTAAGTTGCTTTAGATATTTTTTAATTGATGCAAAAACGCAAAAAAGACAACTGTGAGTGAACTGATTTCTTTCCGCGAAAAATTTTCTCTACAAGAAATAGTTACGGAAGTAAGAAATTCAGGAAAAAATCGGTTTCCTTTGTTTATCAAATTTTTTTCACCTTTTCTTTTTCACTCAGATGATGGTCCTTGTGCGTGTATAAAATGAAAGAAGTGCAAAGAGAAAGATAAAGAGTGTCGCCATAGACAGACAGGTGATGGCATTGACTATGTCAAGCATAGTTAAGGTGTGGCCATCCGCATTGAGAAACAAATGTGGGTATAACGCCCTATTTTAAGTTCTTCTTCCTTAAGCTACCTACTTCAGAACGCTCATTATACTCCGTATTTGAGCAATTGTTCGCAGCTATGTTGTAAAATGTTTGTCGGATGATTAGATTTTCAATTATTAAGTGTTTGCATATACTTTAATCAGCGACATCTATTGGTGAAAATTGTAAAACAAGGCGAAATATCAATGTGTACAACGGCCAGATTCGATGGTTTTGACCATAGAGTTACTGAATTGTCCCGTACATAGAAACCCTAATCGTTGAACGCTCAAAACTGCATCTTCGATGTACATTACTTGGTTTATTTGATTTGAAGACATCTGCTCCCGAAGCCCATCAAAACATTTGTCGAAATTCGTTTCAGCAATTTAAAAATGATGATTTTGATCTCTATGATAAAGAACGACCTAGAGGACGAAACAAGTTTGAAGCCAAAAAATTTCACGATTTATTAGATCAGAACCCTTCTCAAACTCCCAAGCAGCTTCTTGAAAGCACTTAGTTGACGAATCAATTGTTTGTACACGTTTACATGCGATGGGAAAGATCTCAAAAGAGGAAAGATGGCCACCACACGAACGGACCGAAAATCCCAAAGTACAACCGTTGGTTCATTACTTTCCAGGCAAAAAAGGAAAAAGTTCTCTGCGGCGTATTGTGAGTGACGATGAAAAGTGGATCTACTATAACAATTCCAAGCTCAAGAATTTGTAGATTTGCCCAGGAGAGGTATTCACATTCACATCGACACCGAAGCGGAATATTTGTGGCCATAAAATACTGCTGAGCAGATGGTGGGATCGGCAAGTTGTATGGTATCTCAGCCTACTAAAACCGAATAAGACTGTTATTGCAGATGTCTACCGAGGTCAATTGAACAAGACCAGTCCTAGCGGTTAACTGATGCAAAGTCCTACAAACCTAGCATACTCAACAGATATAGCGCCTTCTGATTACCACTTGTTCAGATCAATTAAGCATGGCTTGGCTTTCAAGTGAACCAGCAGAACACATGCAGGCATATATCAACATCGTCCAGGCAAATTCAAAGAAATTGCGTTTAGCGTTGGCTACGCTTATAAAGGTACTACTACCGCGACTGACAAGGGAAGAAATCGTGAACGAATCTGTATCGTGAAACTAAATGACCGACAGTAAACAGCTACGAGTTTACACATGTTGTTAACATATTAATAATCGAAGTTTTTTTAATTTAATTTTAATGTTTTCCTTAAACGCCAAACGAACTAATTGTAGTGAAGTTCCGCGACATATCGCGTGAAATTCTAAGAAGATTAAGCCAAGTCCATCCATTCATCGGTCCATTGTGCGTTGTTGAAGACCTTCCTTGATGCGCTTATGGCGAATTAACAAAACGAAAGTTCATTAAACTATAAACTAAACCAAGACTTTCTGAAAATATTTTGAAATTTCGAGGAGACAGTAATCCCGAGAAGGTAACTGATGCCGCGGAATGTGTGAAAAGAAACGAAAATGCTTAGTGACGTGAAGGAGGCGAATATAACTTTCGCATTCAATAATGTTTTCGGACAAATTGCAAAAACTCTCAACTTTATCAGATTCCAATTCCGATATTCTGACTTGTTACTAATCATAAGAGATTGTGGCTGTCTTTGCTTGAAATCGTTTTTATGGCTTTATATATAATTTTGTATTTCGCAGCAGTACTCACAAAAAAACTTTCCAGTATAAAATTTTTGATAGAAACGTTTTTTTAATTTGAAGGGTTAGAGAACAAGTCAATTTCATCAGATTTTAAGTTAAGTTAAAAATGTTACAACCCCCTCAAACTGATCACTGATTCAGTGAAAACAAGTAATTATTACCTATAAACTAGCGATATGCAAAAGTGACCTAAAAAGTATAATACTGAAAAAAAACCGACATTTAAATTGATATATAAAAGGATATGCCTTCAACGATGGTTGTAATAAATTGCCATAATGCGTGTTCCTTTTTTTTTTTTTTTTTTTTTTGTTCCCTTTAATAAATAGTTAAACCTGGAGAATATATTTAAATAATTTTGAAGAAATCATTTAAAAATGACGTGAAAGGAAATTTTAAGTGAACGAACCGAGCTATACGTAGCTTAATGAAATAAATTCTTTTGAATTAGAATTTAAAAAAAAAAGAGAGCAAAAACGAATAATAATAGTAACAATCAAACTTCCTCTACAAAGCATAATTTTTCAACAATGAACAAAATAATTGTACGGTTGATGTTCGTTGATCCTCGACTGGAAAGTTCAACGTTACTTATCTAATCGGAACTGATGAACACAAATTTGCGTAATAATACCCCAAAAGTATTCAAGTTTACTGCAATAACTCTATTTAGGACGCACAAGCCTGCATGTAATGTATGCAAATTCAGAAATTATTTTTATGTTTTATCTTCTTCATACGAACATAAAGTTCTAAATCTAATGGGAATTGTTTGCCATTTTCTTTATTTTATGCTAAAGAAAGCAAAATGCAAAGAAATTTGTAAAGAAGAAATGCAAGCGAGAGAGGGTTGGTTACTTTGAGAAATCACAAATCCCCGCAGTGTCCAATTACAGCTTCACGAACAATAGACAAATTGCCGAGAACACAGTACAATAGTGCAAAGAATTTCATCAAAATAATTTTAATGCAGAATATTTTTGCCTCTGCATTGTCAAACATTATCATTATTATTTGCGACATATAAAGGAAAGGGTGTCCTAAAATCATGTCAACGTAATTTTATTGATATTGCAACGAAACATTTTTTCCATTCAAGATGCCCAAGTGTGAATATTATTATTACAACGAAATATTTATAATTTTCATCCACTATATACAGCTTGGGGAAAAAAGTAATAGGAATGGTGAAGTTTGTACGGACATATGCAACGCCCCCAAGGACTTGAGATGGGCCAATCTAAATTTAAAATTGATTTCCATCTGTCCCTCTTGTAATCTTGTGTTCAGTCTACAAGTCGCAAGTATATTCAGTTTGCGCGGATAGGTAGACCTACTTTTTATTAAGCCAATCGACTTGGACTCATTTTCCGAACCGATCTATACTTGTCTGTCCATCTGTCCCTATAACGCTTGTCCATGTAATTTTGCATTTAATACACATATCGCAATTTTTGATCAACTTAGGTACACTAAAGTGTTTTGGTCCAAGAACGAACGCTATTGAAAATCATTCAGACTGGACCACTTCCATGTATAATGCCTTGCTTCGAAAAGTCGTTAGGCGGATAATCGCGTTGGCCGAAGTGATGTAAGGTGTCTAATTGTGCGCCATGTCCCACTATAATGCTTGTTTTCCACATAATTGTCAGAAAGTATAGACAAAGTTATGATGAAACAATTACTACTGGCTGGGTTCGTTTGCCTTCTCTTGATACTTTGAATTTCCGTCGAATATGTATGACTTTATATTTACGTTATGTGTGTGTATTTGCATTCTCTCTGAAAATAGATTTTATATGATTTAGTTATGTTTTTCTTTTATTCGACATCTTAAGAAAACTGAAATAAAAATGAAATAAAAAGGCCAAGGTATTGCAAATGCACTTGACAATATAAAAGAAGTTAAGGTTTCTTCTGATTTTCCGAAACTAGATTGCCTTCGGCGCCGCTATCATCAAAATGTCGCATACAATGGGCGAAAATTAGTTATTTTAATGACGCATTTAACAGATTTCCCCATAAAAAGTATTGTTTTTTTTTTTGAAGCTTCCAGGTGTTGTAATAAGCTTCCGCGAGAATATTGAGGGAGTATTTAAACTTGCAGTTTTTGTTAATCATACTTTGAAGTTCTTTACAATTTTCTTACAAAAGAAAAATTAGTTGAAGAAAGCACTTACACTAACTTTTGTCTCTCACAAACTTTCTATAGCTCCGTCAATGACGAAATGCGTACGAACTACGGCAATCTGTGTATGTCAAAAACGCGCCGGAGGATTTTTTCATCATAAGCTATGTTAGAATAGTCTTTAAAGCGCGTACTCACTGGATGAAGGCATTTACTTAAGATGCTTTATTTTATTAATTTTTGAACAGAAAATTTAGTTGGGATCGAGCAAATGCTACAGCGTTTTCCAAGTAACGTATGCAATACGTAGAGTGCTAATATAATTAGATTTCACATGTGTTTAATTCTTATTAAAGATCCCATCAATGATATGAATAGACAAACACTTTTCAGTTTTCCTTTACCTTCAATGTGTTACATTTGTTTTCATTTTTTTTTTCTCTTTGGATTAGTTTAAAATAATAGGATCATGGATCCAGAGATCGATCAGCAATTAGCGAAATATTCAACATTACAAATTTATTCCTTAAAATTCCGGTTTGTACAGAAAATCGCCATTAAACTGGTGGTTAACAATACACACATACATACACATAGGTGATGTTATGTCCTCTCA